CGCTGACCTTGAAGCGCCGCGCCAGGAACTTGTTCTTCATCTCCAGGAAGTTGCCCTTGGAGGCCTCGCCCTTGAAGGGTTCGTTGATGACCCCGAAGGCGCCGTCGTTCTGGATGTCGGTCCAGCGCGCGTAGCCGTGGCTGCGCGCTAAGGACTGTCACCGTGCCACCGTGTCACCTGTCACCGTGTCACTGTGTCACTATGTCACCGTGTCACCCTGTCACCGTGTCACCGTGTCACCTGTCACTGTGTCACCTGTCACTGTGTCACCCTGTCACTGTGTCACCCTGTCACTGTGTCACCTGTCACCATGTCACCGTGTCACCTGTCACTGTGTCACTGTGTCACCGCGTCACCCTGTCCCCAGCATCACCCATACACACCACATGGAGCCGTGGCTGCGCGCTAAGGACCGTCACCGTGTCACCTGTCACCGTGTCACCATGTCACCGTGTCACCTGTCACTGTGTCACTGTGTCACCCTGTCACCTGTCACTGTGTCACCTGTCACTGTGTCACCCTGTCACTGTGTCACCGTGTCACCCTGTCAATGTGTCACTGTGTCACCTGTCACTGTGTCACCCTGTCACCGTGTCACCGTGTCACTGTGTCACCTGTCACTGTGTCACTGTGTCACCGTGTCACCTGTCACTGTGTCACTGTGTCACCTGTCACTGTGTCACCTGTCATCATGTCACCTGTCACTGTGTCACTGTGTCACCACGTCACTCTGTCCCCAGCATCCCCCATACACAGCACATGGAGCCGTGGCTGCGCGCTAAGGACCGTCACCGTGTCACCGTGTCACTGTGTCACCGTCATCGTGTTACTGTGTCATCATGTCACCCTGTCACCTGTCACTGCATTGTCACATCTCGCTGTCCCCAAGGTCCCTCACATCCAGCACACCAGGAATGGATGTCACCCTCTCCTGGCTGTCACCCTCACTGTGTCACCCTCTCCTGGCTGTCACCTCCACTTTGTCACCCTCTCCTGGCTGTCACCCTCATCGTGCTGTCACCCTCATCACAGTGTCACTGTTCTAGCCCTGAGGACACCCCAAATCCCGGTGACACCCCAAATCCCAGGGTGACACCCCAAATCCCAGTGACACCCCAAATCCCCAAGGATACAGGACGATCCCAGCCAGCAGCCTGGTGCCAGTGCCACCCTCACACAGTGTCACTGTCCCAGCCCCTGGT